ACAGTCGTGCATGAGTTATTGTAAATTATATATCTATATATGTATGTATATACATTGATTGCAAATGAATTCTTCTGAGACCAATAATTTGGAAGATTTTTTTTTCGCAAAGATTCTATTAGTAGAAATAAAGTTAATACATTTAACTATATTTAATAGTATATTAACTATAAACATACGTACGTATAAATATATTTTAATACATATTACATATTATAATTACAATTATAAAAATTGCAATTTTTCTTTGAAGAAATCATTTAGGAACAATTGTTTTCTAATATTTTTACATGAGAAAAGACAAAGTAAGCAACTTTGGAGTTCTGCTCACTGTAGATGCGTATTAATCACGTTTCGATATAATTACGTATAAGCTGTATATAATTATGATATAACCTGTATATAAGCTGTACGTACGTTCTGAGAACAGAATTGTGATTTTCTGCATTTCCGGAGGAATTGAAAGTGTTCCTCTTCTTCCAGGTTCCAAAAAGGTACCGCCATCTTGGATATTTAGTAATGATGATCATAAGGTCAATCACGTATAATTGTGTAATTCGTGCATGGAACTTTGTCTTTATAATTGCGTCGTATTTTCTAAAAAAAAAAAAAAAAACGAATAAAAGAAACAAAAAGGGAACAACACTAATCCAATCATATATACCTCGTCAGTGATCCTGAGGAACGTTTGATATCGAAATTGATCAAGAGCTTGAATTTGCAGCGCACTTTCTGCCACGCTCGCCGACAGAACCGTTGGCTGTGAACACGGCGAAAGAGGACGAGGTGACGAGTTCCGAGGAGGCTGGACCGATCGAAGCGAGAATCGAGCCGAAGGGTAAGAAGCTTCGCGTGGATCCTTCGATCGTTCGATCAAACGACGCACGATCGTCGTTTCTGTGTGTTTCAGAGGAGTTGACGAGCACTCGGCTGGCACCGGCCAACTCTGGTTCCGTGGACTACAACGTGTCCAGCTTCTCTATTCTGCCCACGGAGAATATTTACGAATTCGCGGCGAAGTTGCTGTTCTTCGCTGTCAGATGGGCGAGAAGCATCCACTCGTTCTTACAAGTATATTCCTTACATTTCTAACGCGTTTGGAAAGGCAACTGTATCGCGTTAACGAAAAGGAACTTTCTTAAGTTGCCCTACAGAGACCAGACTATTCTACTGGAGGAGTCGTGGAGCGAGCTTTTCGTGTTGACCGCCGCGCAGTGGAATTTCCCGGTCGAAGAGTCCGCCCTGATACCGAACGATTTGTCACCCGAGAGGAAGGAAACGCTGGTCGAGGAAGTGAGGAAGCTGAGGGAACTACTGGCAAAGTGTGCCCTCCTCAGGGTCGATCATTCCGAGTACGCTTGCTTGAAGGCCATAGTCCTCTTCAAAGGAGGTAAAACGACCGATCGCGATTGAAAAATTTCCAAATAAAAATAAAAATTTTCGAGTAAAAACTTCCAGGCGAAACATTTAGAGACGAAAATTTCCAAATAAAAGCTTCCAGGACAAATTTAAAAGAATTTTGTTGTTAAATTATTCATTTTCAATGAAAAATTCGTTTTTCGTTTAGAGTCGCGAGGATTGTGCGAGCCAGGGCGAATAGCAGCGTTGCAAGAGCAAACGGTGACTGTATTCTGCGAGAGGGACGCACGAAGGGTTGGACGACTTTTGCTGCTGTTACCGCCTGCGCGCGCGCTCTGTCGGTCAACCCTGCAAGAACTGTTGTTCAAACCGACGGTAGGGGATGTCAGCGTGGAACGACTGCTGGGCGACATGGTCAGCGCGCTCAGGCCGACGTAACGCCACTCCCACTCGGTCAATACGATGCAATTTTGATCGAGAAGACGCCAACAACTGCCCCAAATACGAACGACTACGATCTTTTCGGAGCATCGATCCTGTAATCGTGCATTTATACTTTTGTTATTCGTTTTCATCATCACAGACGAGATATATAAATAGATTAATGCATTTCGGGGTTTTAGGATCCCTTTACCATTCTCGTGTCACATCCTGCCGTACCGATTCAGGCAGCTTTTGCACCGCAGCGCTACTAGTGATGAGAATTAAAATCACCAAATATGAACGATATTGCCAGACAGATCTGTTTCGAGAATTGTTTATTAAATCGACGTGTGGTGGTATTTTTTCAACGAACAATTTAAAACAAAGCGATTGATGAAGATTGGGATGAAAAGTATAATCATATACCTCGTCTGTAGCTCTCGTTATCGATCGTTTCCTTACCGGTAAAGAAGATTTCTTTCGTCAGAAATCGGAATAACTTCAAACTTTCTCGTGAAATCTAGTCGACTCCTTCCGACGAGCATTGTAAATTATCTAGTCAACTTATACCTGTACATACGCGCGTTAGTAATAAGTGTTTAATTAGTGTAAAATTGCATCTTCTAGTTTGTTTCTTTTCTTTTCTTCCAATGTTTCTTTATCAACGAGTTGAAAACCGTGTCGCGTTCGTCGATCATAAGATGCACTTTCTGAACAATTTTCAACGCACGCGGTAACTGATGATTTCCGGATGATGTGTCGGAAAATCACGGGGGAAGACGTGGGAGGCAGGCAGTGTTTCTCGCTGTTGGAAAACGAAATCGAAAGACACGATCAACAGATGGCGAGCGACCGCGATTTCTCATCTCAGCAAAAACGCTCTGGAATTTTTGAAACGTTTATTTCTTCACATCACAACAATAAAATTCGTTTACACAGAGTATGGGCGTTTCGCGACGGCGAAATAAAAAATAGTTCGTGTGGGTGATCATCGGGATGATTGGCGTCAAAGAAGAAAAAAAAAGAAACACTAACGCACACCGTACTTTTTTTTTTTCTTTTTTTTTTTATTAACTAGAATAATTTATTTTTTTTTTTTTTTTTTTTCATGGTAGAAAAAGGAGAATGTATCTTAACTCGCGAACTGCATTGTATTCATATATATATATATATATATATATATATATA